ACTTGGTTATTAGTTGAATCACTACTAGATAATGTTGTTACACAAATCATGAATGAATTAGGGTGATTTGTAGTCTTTCATGCTAGTTTTTGAGAAGATGATCTAGGTTAGGAAGTATGTTGTGAATTGACCTAAGTATCTTGTCTTAAGCTATGATCTAGTATTGAATTGTGATATAGTGATTCTTCTAGATTTATTATCATGTTAGTTATTGACTTATCATGATTTATACCCAAATTGGATTGAATTGAGGGTTTATGGTAAGACCTTGATGATGAACTATGAGGGAGACTTGGTAAATCTTATGATCCCTACCCTTTACTTCAAATTGTGGTTAATTGTGATTAAGTCATGATGTTGTATTGGAGTATGCCTTGTATTAGGATTGATAGGATGGTATGATATTGGATTGAATGTCTTGACTATGATTTTGAGGTATTAGCTTAAGATGTAAATGTTATAAGAATGGTGAATGATTTACCAATGTGCCTTATCCATGATATGAAAATATTAATGTGCTTACCTCACTTATATGAATTGTAATGAAAGAATTGTACTCATGAAATTCTTATTGATTTATGATGATGATGAATATATAAGGGTTAGACCCGATGACCTACAATAAGCTATGATGATTAATAAAGACATTAAAGACATTTCAAAAAAGGGACTCTAGCTTAGCACCGAGTGAACTAGAGTGAGGAGTGTTCCTTCCCATATAGGGAAGGTAGGATCACTAATGTACTCTTGAGATTGGAGACTAAAGTGCATGTAGCATAAAGAGGGTCCCAAATATATCTCCTAGTTCTTGAACTATGTCGCCACCATAGGAATACTAGCTAGTGGATCTACATAGTTGCTATATTTATGTTTTGGTACTACCTTGGCAAGTATAGTACGCCTTCTTTCGGTGTAGGGTTCTATGACACCGGATTTCACATTAACTCATGTGGTCTATGTCGGTTAGGGCAAGATGTTCCCAAAAGGTAAAATGAACTAAAGGATTGAACTCTAACTAAGGTGACCTAATGGGTCTAGCATAGTCTAGGTAGGGGTATGTGACTCTACCTAAGCATTGCACTAGTTAGCTTGAGGGGAATATTAGGAGGATTTTCTTATGTATGAATATGTTTATAGTGCTATATGACATGTATATGATTAACTTGCACATTGTTGATACTGTATGTTGATTGTTGTCACTTATAAATATGTGTTGGTATATGTTGTTAAGATGGCATGTACTCTTAAATGTTATGATATGTGAAGTAGGATGTTAGTCATGATTCTTGTTGGGTTACTTGATTGAGTAAGGTCATAGGGCTTTGCTTGGTCATTGCACTTGCTGACTTGATAGGGGTTCAAGGGTAATTGTCTTGCGTTGGTTATGTTGAAATGCACTCTTATACATACTTGTTGATAATATGACTTGATGATAGAGTTACTTGAATATGTGTTCGATTATATGATAAGCATGTTAACTTGACTAGTTTTGATGTTGATGGTTTTGTAACGTAAATACCTATGACTTAATGAACATGTCCTATTGGTTGGTATGATCTTGTTAAATATGCATAAAGGTTTTAAATGAAAAGTGTATACTTTATGAGATATCCCTTTTTTCTTAGCATGTTTTCATAGTATGTGTGCATATGGTCTCATACTTAGTACAAGTGGTGTACTAATCTCATTTCTTCCTTTTTCACCAACATTTTAGGTTCCGGTCGCTGAAGTGCTTTGAAGACGACTTGAAGAAGGCTTGGATCTCTTAATCATCCAACTAGGGTAGGTCCTCAATTTCCGAGGCGATGTCACTATCTAACTTATGGAGTTGTTTTGAGATTAAGACTATTGTGTTCTTTCCTTTTCATTTAGTATGAAACATTGTATAGCCCATGTGAGACATTCTTACTTTGATGTATATGCCTAAGTTATTACACTCTTATGTGCGTGTGTATGAAGAGGTCTATGTAAACCTCCAAGTGTAAGTAATGAAAAGTTTTAATTTGACCTATGAATGTAATGATGTAAACTAAGAGGCTAGTCTTAGTCCGCAAAGAGACGTCACCGCCGGTTACGTCTAGGGGGTAAACTCGGATGTGACAGAAAGAGAGAGTTGAAATAAAGAATAATATTCTAAGTCTTCAACTATATTCACTATATACAAAAGAGAGAGTATTATATGATGAAGGAAGGTGTTCTTTTTGTGGAGTTTGGACTCTTCAACTAATCCGGAGTTGCTTTAACATATTGTTGGGTTGTTATATCATGGAGGGGACAAGTCAAAAATATTATTGCTGAATCGTTGTAGATCAAGCCGTATTGAACTTGAATCTCCTTAAAAAGAGCGAAATATATGTACCTCACCCTAAAGATTTGTTTATATATTTTCATTTTAATTTTAATTTGATATAAAAAGAATGTGGGGCCTTTTAATACATCTTATATCAAATTTAAAATAAATAAATAACAATACATGTATTAAAATGCCCCACATTTTTTTTTAAAAACCCACTTGTAACTTTTTTGATTTTAATTAAATAAAAAATATTCCTCATCTCCCATTCAAAATAAAAAATTATGCAGATTATGTACTATAGCATTTATAAATTCTTGCGTAAGTATAAAATTATATATAATAATAGAAAGAAATGCAAGCAAAATCATTGTACATAAGAGATTAAATTGCTAAACAGACTGCATTTAAAACAAAAATTTCATAATACGGACTGTGATTTTCATGTTTCTGATTTTACTTTTTAGATAGACTCTCCAAATTAATTAGAGGGCACAAATGATAATAATGGCTCATTACTTCTTTTTTATAACGTATACTTATCTTGGCTAAATAAATAGTACTAACTTTTGTCATGTTTTAAAAAATGCTGACGTGATAAAATTTTTTTTAAATACGCGCCATTAATTATATTTTTTGTTACCTCAGCTTTTGGATGAAATTAATTTCATTTAAAATTGTTATGGGAAGGGAGGCAAACATTCCAATTTTGTTTGAATTTACAAGATGTGTTCGATTCTAATTAGGACTCTATAATATGCACTGAATTCAAATTAGCATTTTTTGAGGTTAAATTTTAAATCTTAATTCATGCCTATATTAAAGGTACTATATTTCTTTGAAATGAAATCTCGATATATTAAATAAATCATGAAATATTCATATAGAAGTCAAATTTAAATAATTATAATTCGAAATATACATTACTAACGATCCCTCAAGTGATAAATAAATCTTACTAATGTAAAATCAAGGGAGGAACAAAATATTGCTCTTAAAGACCAAAAAATTGAGTTCATATTACTCTTCAGAATATAAATAAATGAATAAAATAGATAATTTGAAGACCCCAGATTGTACTTATTGGATGAAATCGGGTCAACCCGGCAAAGTTGACAAGTTTAATAAAAAGTGATGGATGTTACTTGTAGATTGGATCTATTTAGATTGTTCACATTTAATTCATAATCATAGTAGATACCTAGACCTGAATGAAGAGGAATGATTAAAGAAGGGAAAAGGATGAATTAAAACCACCCAAAAAATAATATTTTAAGATCTCAAACGTGGTCTAAACCATTGTTGGTACTACTATAGAGTAGGGACACCATCGCACTGTGTAATCATTTTTCAGAAATTCAATTGTTATTTTTCCTATCTCAACTCTTTCTATCCCAATGCCCATTCTTAAAAAACTACATGATTACTTGACCATTATCAATGTCGTTTATACACATTTTATTATTTTACTATAGTTAATTACAATACTCTCTCTATTGGGTACTTTCTCCGTCTCTTTTTGCTTGTTCAATTTTTAAGTGACATAACTAAGAAAAAAATAATTAATAACGTAACGAGTTTATCATTTTATCCCTATTAATTATAAAGTACAGAACATTCAAAATACTTTTGCGAAACAACTCAATACCTAAATGCTAATGTGGATTCTACTAAATTTGAAATATAAAACATTCTATAGAAAAAGATCGATAAAAATTATTTTAAATACTAAAAATCTGAAATAAATAAATATTTCATGAATATGTTAACAAACTCACATAAAAATTTAGAAAAAATGACGAAAAATCTTTAATATATACAATCCGAAAATTCAACATAATATGTGATTTTTAAATCAAAATCTCGCAAAATAAATGATGAATTCAAAAATACATTTATCAATTGAGAGATTTCTTGATTAATTGGTAGATCTGAACAAATTGTTACGAACTTGAATAATTAGTTTTTCTTCAATAATGAGAGAGAATAATGGTGAAATTTGGATAAAAAATAAGAGAAAAGTGAATAATGAGGATGGTGAAACTGAAAAGTTGATGAAAGAGAATTTTTTTTTTGATAAGTGAAAGATGAAAAATAAATTTAATGTTACTAAAACATAGAAAAAAGTGTAAATGGGTAATGAATGTAGAATTTGATTCAAAATTGAATTGTTTTGAGAAATAAAATTTGAATACAAATTATTTTAAAAAATATTGACATTTTGACATTTTCAATAATTATTTTCAATAATTACTAATTTGCTAATTTTTCCTAAATTAAATACTACTTTCACTATTACCTTTTTCTTTTTAATTATTATTATTCCCAAATAATTCAAAGTTAAGATTGTAATTAAGCGCACGGTCAAATAAAAATCAATTCAAATAATTTTCTTGAAATTAAATAATTTAAAAGTTGAAATTATTTAATATGGAATAGAGTGGGAGTCACACAAAAATTACTTTCTCCATACTTATTTATTTGTCAAATATTTCATAATTTCATCTTCCTTTTAGCTAGTCATTTGTTAACAACTGAAGAAATGACAAAAGTTATTTCAAGTATACTCTCAATATATTAAAATTGAGTTAATTTCTTTGAAAAATATAATGAGTACATATACTTGAGATTTCATTAATTAATAAAGTTAAAATAATAAACTTACTGCATCAATTTCTTTTTAATAGGTGTATTAGGTCAAAATTTAACAAGTGAATAAGGGCGAGATGTTAGTTGTTTTGATTTATAATATTTGTACAAGTCAAAAGTTTGCTAAGGAGAGGTTCAAACAAACCTGTTTTTTTTTTCTTGTTTGAATTGATTTGGGCGTACAAATAGCTAATGTTGAAATGTTGGTATTCCGGAACTACCCCTCTTCCTCTCTTTGTCAATTTAGTCAAACAGCATTTAGTGGTGCATTTGACATTGTTTCAACTTTTAAGCACTTTGGGAATGCAGAGGATTCAATGAAGCAGTGAACTCCATTGCTGCTGAGCTGATCAGATTCAGTATTTTCGTAAGCTCTTCTATTCATTTTGTTTTGAATGTCATTTTTAAAATAGATTTCTTTGTTTGATCCAAAGGATTTGCAAATTCCATTGGATTTGGCTTTGGCATTGGATAGGAGTAGGGTATTAATTTACTACTTGATATAAGTGTGTTTTTTCCCCTCATTTCTGATTGTTGTCAATGCTGGTATATACATTACTCCATCTTTCCCATTTTATATATGTGTTAGTTTGATTTGATGGATTTGACGGAGTTTAAAGAAAGAATTTTTTTTTGAAATTTGTGGTCTAAAATAAGTAATAGTAATATTTATCTGACTATAAATTAGGGTAAAATGAAAATTTTATTTAATATAGTAATATGCATTTTTTTTAAACGACTAAAAAAAGGCAACTCATATGAATTAAGACACAAGTATGTCAAACTGATAACACTTGCATATATTTTCTGAACAACTACAGTATTACAGAAGCAGAGAAGGTATGCTGCAAAGCTAAGTTTATGTTGCTATCTATGGGTCATAGTTATTACTTCTAAATTGTTTCTTTCTATCATTTTCTGTTGCGTAGATGAGAGAGAGCTAAAGCTGCAACAATGGCGTGGATTGATAATTTGTTGTACTGGTTCAAAGACCAGGATTTTGCAAGGACAAAACCTGTTGCCCTTTTGTTCTTTGCTGGAGTCATGGCCACATTGCTACATTCTGAAACTAAACGCTTATACTCTTCGTGGTGGGATACTGGTCATATTCAAAATAACTCAAAATGGCTTCAACATAATCTTACTGGTGAGTACTGAGGGATCATTCTTTTAATGGCTATACATGAATAGACCTCTTATTTACCACTTTCTTTCAATAAATCTGATTCTTGTCATTTTGATGTTAAGCTTTTTCTCCCATTAATGGATGATCTGGTTTTACAAAAACTTAGTAATTCTGCATTGCACTGACATAAAATGTGTGTGTGCAATTTGTTCTTGTGAGTCTGTTACCAGCATGTGGTATGAGCTAGAGTATGGTTAGTTTGTCAATCAAGAGGTCACATGACTCAATATGCATACATCTGCTGTTCCATTACCTTATAAAGTTACGCTTTACTTTAGACTATTGAATAAGTTGATACTCGTATCTGGAGCGGTTACACTTCTTCCTGTTTTCCTTTTCCTCTCTTCTCTGCATTACATACATCGTGATACAAGGATAGATAATCTACTTTGCATCTCAGATTTTCCGCTGTCCTTTTTCCGGAACTAGAAAGCATATAATTATATTGATTTTGATGATTTTATCATCATGCTTAAAGATCAATGAACTATGTGATAAATCATTTCTTAAAAATCCTCTGCAGATTGGAAATTCCATTAAATTGGTTCCTGAAAATCCTGTGTTTCACATCTTAGGTTGAGTGATTCGATAGAACTCAGAGGCAGCTTCACTTACCAATGAATCGACAATCAGTTGGACATACCAATCATCAAAATATCCACTTTTAGGTGGTTAATGTAAAAACTGGAACATAGATCGGAATTCTCTTAGACGGGAGAAATCACATCAATGCATTATTAGTAAAGGAATTCCTATGCTGACTCCACAAGAGACTGCATTATTAATGGACCATGGTAGTTTGCAGATCCATCACACCATACATATTATTACTACCACCCTTGCAATCCCCAACAAGCTCCCTTGTGCACTCAAAACCAAATCCAGTTATCAACTACTTAGATATCTTCCTTTATGTGCATAACTTATTAATGGAATAAGAGATTATATACACAATCACTAGTGGCGGAACTAGGTGGGTTCATGGGTTCACAGGAATTCACTAGTTTTTTCTTAGATTCTGTATTTGTATAGAATATTAAATAAATATGTGTATATTAACTTGTGAACCTTGACAAAAAAGGAAGCGACGGTAAAACTGTCTTTTATACTAGTGTTGTGGGTTCAAACCCCACAAGGGAGCATGTATTGCAATATGTTTCTCTTCTATCCTAAACTTTAGAACCCCAAACTCTGGAAATATCTACTTATTCTTTAAACTAAATCTCTTCAAGGTCATCACTGTTATGCTACACACAAATCTGTTGAGAAGGAGCGGAAAATGACGATGTAGAGGTGAAGAGTAGTTGAGAAGCCAGTAGCTTTAGGCTTACATTTTTGCCTTCTACCCAGTATCTTTGGTGTCCTATTTTGAGCTGTCATAAATTTCAAGAAATTATTGGTCATTTGAGACAACTTTGTTACATGTGATTTTAGGTCTCTACCTCTACCTCTATTTTTGATACCTTTAATCACCATGATCTCATACTTGTGGACGGGTGCCTTTGTAAGTCAATGTACGATATGACCAAACCACCTCAAGTGACTTCTCTTATTATATCCTCTATATTGCTACTTTCACCTTCTATCAAATGTGATCATCTCTAATCTTCCATGACCATACAGCTATCTTATCATCCACATTTCTGCTGTACTCGTGTTTTTGTGGATATGTTGGACCTTAGTGGCCCAAGATTAATTCCATACAACATTATCAGTCTTCCCACCATCTATGGAACTTCCCTTGTATCCTCTCATGGAATAACACTCTAGCAGCACTTCTCTATTTTAACAATGCTTTTTTGATTCTATATGTCACAGTTTCATGTACATGTCATTCTCCTAAGACAATGATATTTAAGTATATGAAATATTTGCATTAGCACCATATCCCTGTCTAATCACATGTCATCTTCACTCTTCTTTATGCTGCCCGAATTCACAATGATTCTTCCTACTACTACTTCTCCTAAGCTCTTACAGCAATTTTGGCTAAGCTTCCGCGATCTGCTCTTTTCTGAAAAACCCTTCTTGGTAAAAGTACTTTGGAGCAGCATAAATTTGAGTTTGACCACACAGTTTTGATGCACTTCTGTCTCCGAAACCTACCAGCCATAAATTTAAACTATTATCTCAGTCACTTTTGTAGTATCCCTAAGTTTACTCTCATTACTCTTTCCCATAAGTTCATTGTCGGACTAATATTTAATGCTACGATAGTTTACACAACATTGAGTATATCTCATTACATGGTCTTCTATTTGGAGTAGTTTTTCTTTTATTCTATAAGTTTCTTCTCATGCACTTTTTTTCTTTTTTTCTAAAATCTCATAGGATACTTAACTGATGTTGCTTGTATCTTATTTCAACAGAAATGGATGCTAAAGTAAAGGCAGTGATCAAGATCATTGAAGAAGATGCAGATTCATTTGCAAGAAGGGCTGAAATGTATTACAAGAGAAGACCTGAGCTAATGAAGCTAATAGAGGAGCTCTACAGGGCATACCGGGCACTAGCGGAAAGATATGATCATGTAATTGGGGAGCTCAGGCAGGCCCAAAAAACCATGTCAGAGGCATTTCCCGACCAACTACCCTTTCTACTGGCTGAAGATTCACCCATGAGATCTTCCACACAAATTACTGAACCACATACTCCAGAAATATTGTGCCTTCGTGCATCGTCTTATACACATGAATTTCATCAGTCCACTACAGGTTTAATACCATCTGGTATACATGCTGCTCTGAAGATTGGATCTCATAATGGTGATTCTAATAAGGGAACAAGTGACTGGGGTTTAAAGCAGTTGCTTGAGATGCTTGGGGCAGGAGAAGAAATGCTTAAGAGCACAAAGTTCCTCGAAGGAAAATTGAGTATTGGATTGAACAGAAACACAGAAGAAAAGGAAAAATGTTTGCATGATAAAGTATCTGAATTGTCAAATGAGGATGGGAATATCAATTCCAAGATCCTCGCTCTCGATGAGTCAGAGCATGCTGATCAAGCTGAAGCTGAAGTTCAAAACCTGAAGGAAATCCTAGCTGTCATGCAAGCAGAAAAGGAAGCTACTGTCATTCGGTATCAGCAATGCATGAATCAGTTATATGCTGCAGAGAGGGAACTCAATAGCGTACAGAAGGACTCCGTGAAGTTCTGTGAACAAGCTAGCACAGCTGAAAATGAAATCCAGAAGATGAAGGAATCCCTTATCAAATTAGAGGCTGAACGAGATGCTGATTTGAGCAAACACAAGAAGTGTCTGGAAAGGATATCTCATCTGGAAGTTACGGCTTCTCAAGCACTTGAAGACACAAAAGAACTAAAAAAGAGATCAATTAAGGCAGAAACCGAAGCTCAGAATCTTAGGAATGAGATCTCTAAGTTAGAGTCTGAAAAGGATGTTGTCCTTCATGAGTATAAGCTAAGAATGGTAAACATATTTGACCTTGAGGAAAGACTCTTGGTAGCTCAGGAAGAATCCAGAATGCTTACGGAGATAGCTGATAAAGCTGAAGCTGAGATCAAGAAACTGAAAATTGTTCTGATGGAACTCAATGAAGAGAAAGAAGCTGCTGGTGGTGACTATAAACATTGTCTGGACAGAATATCAAACCTTGAGAATGAGCTTGCTTGTTCCCAAGAGGATGTAAAGCGCTTGAATGCTGAGATTTCAACAGGAGCTGCAAAGCTTAAAGATACTGAAGACAAGTGTGTTGTGCTGGAGATATCAAAGCATTCATTGTACCTAGAGATAGATAATTTGGCAAAGAAGATTGCAATGAAGGATCAAGAACTCTATGAGAAGAAGAGGGAATTAGAGGAACTCCAAACTGATTTTCAAAATTTGCACTTAAGCCATGCACAACTTGAAGTAACTCTTCAGGCTCTGCAATATTTGCACTGTCAATCGCAAGAAGAGCAGAGAGCTCTGACCATGGAGCTCAGAAATAGTCTTGAGCTGTTGAAGGAAGTGGAAGAATGCAAAAATAGTTTGGAAGGTGAACTTAAGCGGGTGACGGATGAAAACCATAGCCTGAATAAACTGAAATTTTCCTTAAGCAATTCGATCGAGAAGCTGGAGAATGAAATACTTAGCTTGAGGAAGACGGAGGAGAAACTTGAAGCGGAGGTTGCACAACAAGTGGGACTAAGTAGCAACATTCAACAAGATATTGCATGTTTGAAAGAGGAACTCAAGGACCTGAACGGGAGCTACCAGGCTTTAGTACAGAAAGTGAAGGCTGCAGGTATAAACCCTGAATGTGTCGACTCTTCAATAAAGAGCTTGCAGGAAGAGAACTCCAACCTCAGGATAATCTGTGCGAACACCAAATGCGAGAATGATGTCCTCCACAAGAAGTTGGAGGACATTGATGAACTTTTGAAGAAGAAGGCTGTTCTGGAGAGTTCCCTCTCAGGTGTAACTGGTGAGTTGCAGGGATCACAGGAAAAGGTGAAAGCATTGCAAGAGTCTTTTCAAATTCTGAATGGAGAAAAATCCATTCTTGTTGCTGAGAAAGCCGCTCTACTCTCTCAGTTGCAAATTATAACTGAGAAAATGCAGAAACTCCTGGAGAAAAATGCTATGCTCGAGAACTCTTTTTTGGGTGCAAAAGTTGAACTTGAAAGTCTAACTGAAAAAGCAAATAGTTTTGAAGAGATATGTCAATTGCTGAAGACAAGAGTTAAGGAATCAGAAGAGAAGTATGCTTGCCTAGAGAAGGATAAACAAGCAGAACAGCTACAACTTCAAGAACTTAGAGTTTCTGTTAAAATGGAGAAACAAGAAAAGATCAACTTTATGCATCAGAGTGAGACCCGATTAATTCATATGGAAAACCATATCCATCACCTACAGGAAGAGAGTAAGTGGAGGAAGAAAGAATTTGAAGAAGAACTCGACAAAGCTTTAAAATCCCAGTTTGAAATTTTCATCCTGCAGAAATTTATGCAAGATATGGAAGAAAAGAATTTTTCTCTGTTGATTGAATGTCAGAAACATATTGAGACATCAAAATTGTCTGACAAACTGATTACAGAGTTAGAGAATCACATCCTGAAACAACAGGTTGAAGCAGACCTTTTGGTAGATGAGATCGAAAGGTTGAGAATGGTGATATATCAAGTTTTCAAGGCCATTGAAAATGATTCTGACTTTGCGTCTGAAGGAAAGGTGGAAACTGAACAAACCTTCCTGCATTATATTTTGGGCAGTGTTGACGATCTGAAACTTGCACTCAGAATGTACGAGTGTGATAAGCAACAGTTGTTGATTGAGAACTCAGATCTTCTAAATAGACATGCTCAGCTGAAATCAGAGGGCCTGGAATTGGAGTCAATGAAGAAATCTATAGAGGAGGAGCTTAATATTGTGGCAGAGAAGCTGGTTAAAGTGCAGAAAGAAAACCATTGCTTTCTAGAGATGAACAAGAAATTACAGTCTGAAATGAGCAGCAGTACTCAACTAAATGCCATACTTGAGGTGGAGGTACAGACTGTCTGTGTCAAGCATGGTGAGTTGCAGACAGCTTACTTTCAATTACAAACGAAATACTCTCAAGTACTTCATCAGAATGAGACATTGTTGACAAAGATATCAGAGATCAAGGAGGAGAAATGGATAGTGGAGCAGGAAAATGATGTTTTCCTACTTGAGATACTGGTGCTGGGTAATTTCTCTGACATTTTGAAGAGCTATTCTAGTGAAAGAACAGCTGAGCTAGAGTCAATTTTTGAAGATATACGCAAACTTCATGGTGCTACGCTTGACTTGGAGAAGGAGATGGATGTATTGAATGGGAAGCTGGAGATGAAGGAAACTGAAAACCTACTCCTGAAAAAATCAATTGAAAGGTTAGAAGAAGAGCTCCATGGGGTGAGAGAATCTAATGATCATCTCAAGTTGGAAATGTCAACTGGAAAAGAACTTCAGGGTAAGCAGGAAATTCAACTTATGGAAGCAGAACAGAACATTAAAGTATCTGAAAAATTGAACTCAGAATTGCATAGGGCTCTGGATGTACTGAAGACCGACTGTCTAGAATCCTCGAAATTGAATGAAGATCTAGAAAAAAAGATATTTGAAATGTTGAGAGATAATACCACTCAGAACAAGGAAATTGGATCTCTTCAAGAAGCAAACACGAATTTGGTGGTTGAATTAGGAAAATTGCGTGAAGAAATTGAAGAGCATCGAATCAGAGAAAACTGCCTAAGTTCAGAGCTCCAAGAGAAAGACTATGAGTTTGGACTATGGGAGGCAGAGGCAGCAACATTTTATTTCGATTTGCAAATTTCCTCCACACGAGAAGGATTAATGGAAAGCAAGATGGATGAGTTAAGTGAGATTTACGGGAGACTTAAGAATGAAAATGCTTCCAAAAGTTTGGAGATTGAACAGATGAAAATGTTAATCAATTTAATGGAAAGTGAAATTGGAGAACAAAAGTCACACTTACATGCATATGCTCCTGTAATAGCCTCTTTAAGGAATGATGTGGTATCGCTTGAGCATAATGCACTCCTTCAGACGAGCCTTAAGCTAGCTGGCTCTCAGGAACCTAAGGTAATGTACTTTCTTATAATAAGTGATATACTTGTTTATGTTTTATCCTGCTTACTGAAAATTGGGCCTGAATGTTGCTCAAGCCTTTTGCATTTTTACATGACCTTAGCTTTAGAACGTCAATCAGTGTTTTGATCGGAACTAACTTGGCATATGTTTACTATTACCTTAAATACTATTGTTAGTCAGGATTTTCTTTGAAGTTCTTCCTCTTGATGATTCATTCTCTCAGAACAATTTCCAGTGCCCCGCATTTAGTAGGACTAGACTGACTTGCTTCTTGACTTGGTGTAATGACCTGCGTCTAGGTTGTGAAAGGATATCTAGTTAAAAAGTGTTAATTTTACACTGGTTTGATATTTCCTAATTGACTTGTATAAGTATAATATTGTATGGATTTGAGTTTAAAATTAAAGCAAAAGAATATGAAGGTCATTCCCAGCTGTGTTTTTACCTAGGCATAAGAAGTGGAGAACTTGGGATCAGCTGCAATTTTGTGTTGAAATTTCTTTTGCAGTGTGTTGACATTGAGGTTCAGCCAGATGAAAGTAGATATGGAAATCTGACGGAAAATCAACTTGTCATGACAAAAGACATTCTAGATCTGCAGGAGCTCAGAGACAGGATTAAAGCAGTTGCCGAAGTAGTGAATAAGAGGAACAAGCCTATTTTACAGGTATCTTCCTACAACAAAATAGGTCGAGGTAGTACTGAAACTGAAGTTAAGGAATCAAAATTTCGGTATAGCTTTGATCTAGAAGAGGATGAGCATATAGAAAGAAGGAGTCCAAGGAATGAATATGGTGAAGGTCATTACAGGCGAAAGACCAAGCCTAAATCCTTTGACATCCAAAAGAGGATACTGATGAAAGATATACCACTTGATCATGTTTCTGATGGCTCACAACAAAGAATTAGAACAAGTGGTTCTTCTGATGTTGACGGAGCAGATGATCAGATGCTTGAGCTATGGGAAACCACAGAGGAAGGTAGTCCCAGTAAAATTATGAAGGAACGGGCAAATCATCCACCAACAGAATCAGAGGTGGAGAAGGAGTTGGGTGTTGATAAGTTAACGAACTCCTTTGACGCAAGAGTTGAAACAAATAAACAGATTCTGTACCGGCTTTCCTCTGATGCAGAGAAATTGGTTAGTCTTCAAATGACTGTTGATAACATGAGAAGGAAATTGGATAAGAAAAGAAAGGCTAGGAAAGACAAATATGTTGACTTTGTAGCAGCAAAAGAACAGTTAAAAGAAGTTGAATTAACGATTGTGCAGCTGGTGAATTTGAATGGACATTTGATGAAGAATACAGAAGAAAGCACACATTTTACAGGAAGCACTTCAACATATTCAAAGGAGTTGTTGAATATCAGGGGAAAGAGAGATTTAGAAGAGGCGAGAAAGGGGTCTGAGAAGATTGGACATCTACAATTGGAGGTTCAAAAACTTGAGAGCATGCTACTGAAACCGGGGGATAAAAAGAAAAGCATAGACAGAAGCAGATTTTACTCAAGTATTGCATTGAAGAAGTTGATTCATATTGGAAAAAGCAGCAGTGAAAAGGAAAAAAATGTCCATCTTTGTGGATGCTTTACACCTTACAATAGCAACAACATCAGTAGTAATAGATACCACATCTGAAATGCTTCAGATTTTCCAAGATATTTTACTGCTTGTGTTGTTTCTTCTGTAGTCCGAAGCTGGAAAACTGATACACATTCAGTTTTAGCCCTTTAGATGAATCATAACAGTTAGATTGGAGTATTTTTGTTGTTTAACTCAGTTTTGACTATTTTAGCAATAACAATACTATACTTTCTTGATTTGTAATTTAAGCTTTCTAGTTATTGGTAGCCAATCTAGCTGTTTTAACAGTGAAACTATATTATATGATGTGCATGTAGAGTTTCTGCAAAAGCACCAAGCTTCAAGAGTCAAGCTACTCAAATTTCCTTCTCTAACCTACATTTGCTTATTTTGTATTTATTAGAGATTTGGCCAAATATTATCCTTAAACTATACCCCAAACTTAAACTACATCCTCAAATATCATTCTTAGCAGAAAACATACTTCATGTATTTTAAAGTGAACAATTTTCATCATTCTATTTTAAATTATCAAAAAATTAACAAATCCCACAAAAATCAAGTCATTCCTTTCTAATTATTATTCTTAGCTAAGCCAAAAATATTATGGTGAACTTTTTCGATAATTGAGTTTAGCATTATGCAAAATCTTTTAATTTGACATTTTTTTCATTTATTTTTTCATGTATTTGATATAAAAAATATTATTAGTTGAAATATGTTTCTTCTCAATAGAATATGCTAGAAGCGATGTTTGTTGAAGACTTCCACATTTAATAATGTAGAAAAAAATGCAAATGCGAGATATAATCAATATTGTGATCACTTCAATATCAGATTGACCAGAAAAAATTATTGATCTAAAGTTTGACTGTGAAAAAGGTATAGATAATTAAGCTCAAACTTCTTTCCGTTACTAAATGAGAAAAATAATAGTGTACCCTCACACCTTCCAAACATTTCTTTTATTTCCGTAAGCAATAATGTCTAAGATTTTTTAATTTTTCTAGAAACTTCATATATACCAAGGATGAAAGTTGTTCACTTTTAAGTACTTGAAGGATTTTTTTTAATTTTTTCGCTAAGAATGATACTTTAAAGATGTAGCTTAAGTTTGGGGTACAGTTGAAGGATGTTTTTCGCCAAAAACTCTTCACCAATCAACCTACTTTTATCTCATTTTGACCTCTATTATATATGACCGCATCTGTATTTCTTATTGTAAATCATCAAACTGATTACATTGAAGTAGATAATAATTTAGTAACGGAATTTGAGCTGTAATAGCTCCAGCTTCCAGCACATAGAATTTTGGAGTTTCTTGTTGAAAAGATAAGGGAACCATATGATTTTATATTTTTATTAACAAATTTAGTTGCTATGGCATAAGATATGTTCCTTATTTAGCAAAACAATAAGCAAGAACAAGAGTACTTCAGTTTTTTTTTTTTTACATAAATTTTCGTTGGATCGATTCTTCATAATTGAATTTGTATTTATTCAACTAAAAATTAAAAATAAAAGAGGAAAAACATATTACTTATCAAATTTAGGTCTGAATTGGATAGGGTAGGGTTGATCTTATTTGTATAATTGTCTTATTAGATCAAAAATAAAATAAAATAGTAAAAAAGATTTACCCGTTATAAAATGAGAGTCAAATACAATAATACTAAACAAGAGGTAAGACAAATAAAAATATCAAGTAGAAGTATAGAGTATTTTTTTTATCTTCTTAATTGTATTTCTTAAGGGTGAAAGGATACTCTCTTATAGGAGGTAGAATTCATCCATTTATAATGATAAACAAATACTTTAGAAGCTCTTTAAGTGTACAGTCAAAGGGACATTACGTTAGGTGTATATTGAAAAAAAACATCCACACAAATTGTCACGATCCAATTTAGAATCGTGACCGGCACTAAGGAGAAGATTCCAAAGCAAGCTTTAACAAAAAATATACAGAAAATCAGACAGAGTTTTCTCTATTTTTGGGTCTATCCTGAACTTACCTATAACGGGAATTAATAACGCGGCCAACCAATCTCATCTTTTCCCACCTTATTCATCAATAAACTATTCGAAGAGTAAACATACTAATTACAACTCCAAAACATAAATCTCATACTAGACACCAGTTTGCAATATGAAAGAATACTCATAACTTCTAATAAAAGAAATGACTATCGAGCGACTCAAAGAATTTCGACAAATGTCTTGAACAACTAATAAGCTTGTTATTCGCGCGAACAAATGTGGGGCTCACCGAAAATTATCAACTCGAAAGCTCTAGACTTTACCAAAGTTACCTGTATTATCTGTAGAAAAATATAGTGAGGAGTGAGACGCTAGCTCAGTGAGTAATAATACTTAACCACAACCATTTTAACGAGGGACAAGTCAGAAAACATGCTAGTACAATAATCATAATTTTGAAATAATGCTCTTTCAGAAATAATAACAATATTCAATCTTTTGTGCTTCATATAAGCAAAATCAATATAAATGCTTAATAGTAAACTCAGAGAAACCTTTTCATATCAAATCTTATAGTTGTAAACTCAGAAAACACTTTCTTATCAAATCTTATATCTGGGAGGTTTCCAAGGATGAATCATGTATCATAGTGGCCTTCTCTTAAGAAGTAATCAATAACAATGAAATCCTCGTAAAGGAATTAAATATTCATACTGGTAGATCCCTACTCGAGGGATTCAATAACGGTATACTAGTTTCACAGCCCACTAGCAAGGGCTTTATCAGAAATAAGCAATTACAAGGTACATCAGGTCTAACGATCCCGTCGTTAGCTACGTGATTCATCAAGGTTTACTCCCATTTATATTCTTCTTGTAATCAGTAAAATCATTTCAAAATCAATCAGAGCACTTAAAATCTTATCAAATCATATCATTTCAAAGTTCAACCATCACCTGTCCAAAAACTATTTACTCAAATAAGGGTAAAACCTTTTTAATAACAAAAATGATATCTTGTAAAAATGAGACCATCTCAAATCAAATAATCTTTTCAGTATCATATCCAGTAAAATCATATCCAGTAAGAAACTTGTCCCACATGCAAGTTCAAAACGTTCAGTATCACATTTACTTTATAAATCATGTGAAAATCATAAAACATCAATTGTGGTAAGATTACTACTCACCGTACTTGTGCTGAAAATGACAAGCTCGTCACTCGAGTATCTCTATGAATCCCTTTGATCAATCTATAATCACATTCATATCAATTTCGTATTAACTTCTTCATAAATGTTATTTCATAATAAATTAAAACACCCAGCCCTAGAAGTTTCATGAATGACTCAAAATCTGTCCAATCACCTAATTGGTGCTTTAATCACACAAAACAACCTCCCTTTGATTAATTTCACATTGTAATAAACCAACACAACCTTGCTGCCCATCAACTTTTACTTCATATTTGCCGAATAACAAGGTTTATAGTTCAAATCATTAGTGCACTCCTTTAAATCATAAGAATCTGACAATTCCCTCTATTTTTTTTAAATCACGATCCTGAAACTCTCAACCCAATTCTATAGCTATGGAAAATTCAGATCTCTCTCTTTAGTTAAGAATCAAAGCTTATCAATTCTCTTCCTCGCTCCTTCTCTCTTCCAAATCTATTAAATTGCCATGGTGGAAACAAAATTCTCTAGTGATATGGAACTTGAGGATGTTGTCTTGTTCTTGCATCTGCTTTTCCTTTTTGTCCATTGCTACTCACACAAATAACTAACAAGTGAGAACCGATGACACTGATGAACATTGGAAGGAAACTTTTTTTCTTCGTTTCTCTCTGCTGAAAATTGCAGCGTGGCTACCTAGGGCTTTTAACCCAATCTCTTTTTTTTAAAACTGAAGACTTATTTACCCTTAACTAAAATTATGGGGTATTACACAAATTTCATTGGATTTGTACCACTCCCCCTTGAATATTTATAGATAATGCGTTTCGTTAAAACCTTAGTAGGAAAAATCCAGTGCAAAAAAGCTTAGTGAAGGAAAAAGAGTACACACATCTTGTTATACGCCTTCAGTGCTGCCTCATTAAAAAACTTACCAAATAACCCAATGGGACAAAATCTTGGGCGATGCGTACAACGCGAATTTACTCCCCCCCCCCCCCGATGAAAAACTTATTTGATATCTTGGAGACGACGCATTTTAATATTATATCTTAGTTTCTCAAATGTTGACGTTGGCAATGCTTTAGTGAATAAATCTGCAAGATTATCACTCGAGTGAATCTGTTGAACATTTATCTCACTGCTTTGTGGAAGATCATGTGTGAAAAAAACTTACGTGAAATATGCTTTGTTCGGTATTCATTGATATATCCTCCTTTAATTGAGCTATGCAAGCATCATTATCTTCATACAATATTGTTGGGATCTTTCTTTGTATAGACAGACAGTATAATTGCAAAATGTTTTGAGGCATTGATATAAACTAATGACTATTATTTATGCTGATTTAAAGAAGTAGCAACTATTGTTTACTTCATCGAACGCCATGATATAGATGTACCTCCATATGTGAATAAATAGTCTGTCTGGGATCGGGCTTTATATGGGTCAGACAAATATCCCGCATCAGCATAGCCGATCAACCCTGACTTGTATGCATTAGAATAAAATAATCTCATATCAATTGTTCCTTGAAGATATCTGAATATATGCTTAACACCTTTCCAATGTCTTTTTGTTGGACATGAATTGAATCTCACCAATATATTTACTACGAAAAAAATATCTAGTCGGGTATTGTTGGTAAGGTATATCAGTGCACCAATAGAACTGAGATATGATATTTCATCACTAAGAACCTTTTCATCCTTTTCGTGAGGTCGAAATAGATCTCTATTTATATCGAGAGACCTCACAACCATTGGAGTACTCAATCGGTGTTTTATCCATGTAAAATTGCTTCAAAACCTTTTCAGTATGTGTTGATTAATGGATAAATATTTCATTTGTCAAATGTTCAATCTGAATGCCAAGACAAAATTTTGTCTACCATGATCTTTCATTTCAAATTCTTTCTTCAAACACTCAACGATTTTTGAAAGCTCCTTAGGAGTTCCAATGTTGTTCAAATCATCAACATAAACATATATTATTACAAATTCAGATTTTGACCTTTGTATAAAAGTACAAGGACAAACAAGATCATTCTTATACCCTTCCTTTAGCAAATATTTGCTAAGATAATTATACCACATTTTCCCTAATTGTTTTAATCCAATAAGGATTTCCTAAGCTTTATTGAATAAATTTATTTTGAATTATTATATACTTCATCACT